TTACTATACACATTTGGATGACCATTTATTCTGATCTTTGGATAATTATCTGAATGAAAAAAAAGACTGCAGTTTTTACTGAGAAAAACAAATTCTGTGAGGATGTAATTACGAAGTTGGTTGTAAAGTGGTAGAAGGTGGAAATAAATTGGCAAATATTATTTAGGTACCATCAAAATGGATATTTTTTTCTGCAATGAAAACAAAAAAATCTACCCAGCTCATGTTTTAAAATATCAGGGAATTATCTAATTCAAACAAAATGTTCAGGAATTATTCATTAATTAATGAATATTTTACTGAATATATTATTTTATGAAAAAAACTTGGAGAAATATTTTCTGTGAGTATGTTTTACCCTCCCTTTACAATATCACAAGTATACTTTTTGAAGAGGGAGTCACCATGGTTTAATGTAAAATAAATGACAGAACTGTCCAACAAAAATAATTGACAAAGTTTGTAATAAGCAATAACAAGAAAAAGAAAAGAAAAGTACAGGGTAAAAAACAATATATGCAAAGCAAAGTAACAGTAATATAGCAAAAAGTGTTAAACTCCTGCTGGATTCACCATTTTCACTCTGGTTACCTTCACTTCAAGATGGCCTTTATATATACATGAGGCTAACTCAATGATTGGCCAATAATAATCTTATAACTATTCTCATGTAAATAACTTAGCAGTGCTACCTGTGTAGATCTACCTTTTCCAAACTACCATTTTGCCAAGAGGAATTAACTCAACAAAAAGTTCACAAACTAAGAATTGGGGTTGACATACAAGACCATGTTAAGATAAATGAATGTAGCCATCTGACTTCAAGACAAGACAGATCAGGACTGAGTCATATGAAACTGAGAAATGGACTTTTTTTTTTTTGTTAAGAAGAAATCTCATTGTTGGGTGGTTGTCCAAATTTTTTACAGTTATATAAAAAGAAATCCTTGAAAATATTTTGGTAAAAAATTTATGCAGACATATGGAAAATTCAGCTGGCATCTTGCTAAATACTGTTCAATAAAATTCAAAAAATAATATTTTTGAGAAGTGGTGCTTGCATAATTTAATAAAACAGATTGGACTGAAAAAAAAAAGTCTAAACTTAATATTTGTTTTAAAAAAATACTTGTAATTTCTCAATGCAATTTTTAAATTAATCCAGTTGCTGTTTGTCATAAGAGTTTATTTTATGAACTAAAGACATGTTAGAATATTTTAAAAATGTAAAATTTAATGTCATTTTTGAGTGTTAACTGATTTTTTAAATTATCTTATTTTATTTTATTCCTTTTAGCAACTGTTAGATTATTTTTGGCATGGATGTACAAAAAGGAAATAATTCTGATATTTTGCATTGCCTGACTAGTGTTCAATATCAGAGAAGTATTATGATATTAATCTAATTTCATATCTCCTATTCAATCAGCATGATAAATAGAATTATTCATTATACTAAGTTTCATAAAAGCATATAGAATAAAAATGATATTCTTAAAATACTGGTTATATGAGGTTAAAGAAAATTTAGTTTTAAGGATAAATAACAAATTCTTGTTTATCACATCATTAGTCTTCCATACTTTAGATTTTATTTTTACTTTTACCCATGTTTTTTCAGACAGAGGTAGAATTACAGTCTTTCTGCTTTCTTTTCACAAGCAAGTGTGCGTAAATAAAACATTATTATCATTCTGTTTTAAGTAAAAGGTAAGCATTACTTTTAGGAAATCCAGTTAATATAAAAAAATATGTTATCTCCCTTTGGTAGATAACTCCTGCTGATAATAAGAAGAGTCTCTTCAACAGATAATAGGTAGGACCCAAAATTAGGTGCAAAATAAGATTTTAAGTGACAAAAGAGATGCCAAAAAGAACATGGAGTGGACCACATGTGTTTTCACCTACGCCAAAGAAGAAGAGATGCAAGATGTCGAGAAGACTTTGTTATAAAATAAAATAAGACATATCTCGGCTGAATTGCAGGCAAATAAACTAACATACTTAAGAGCAAGCGCCGGATGTGAACAGGGCAAGGCTCCGTCACAAAATGACCATTATCGTTGTCTACGGATAAGCCTGACGCACAAGTTCCGGTCGAAAAATAAAATAATATTTTAAAGTGTTTCTATTTTTCAACCAATAAAAATGCTTCACTCCTAATTATACTTGCGTCGTTTTTCGAGCCTGTTAAGCCATAAAAAACACTATAAAAGGGGGTCACACGGGGATGTACAACAACAGTCAACAGGAGGCCAGGGAAGAGGCCTGTCACGGTCAGTCAGCAGCAGTCAGCAGGTATGCCACGCCAACCAGTGTGAACTACTATGAGAGATCAACCCAGACTGGGAGCCGGCTTATGAACTATACCACAAGGGAGCTGTCCCAAACCCACACGTTCCTATTGTTGTCGTATTTCCTTCTTGCCACCATACGCTTGTCTATAAAAGAACTTGAATAAATGAGACATCTTTTCAGTCTACTCAAGAACAGGTGATACGAGCCATGTGCTAACCTGAATGATACAAGGGCAAGCAGCTAATACAATCAGAATATGAAAACCATTCAGATAAGTATGTCATCTATTTCAAACAGATATGTATTTGGATTTCGTCCCCAATGTTTTGACTTTTAATCACTAAAAGAATATATTTTTAGCAATCCTCTCTTCTCTTTCTTGTTATGTAATGTGTTTCTTGTATAAAGTATGTTTTGACAATGTTCAGTTGCCTCACTTTGTTCATCAAGCCATGACTCATTTTGTGGAATCATTAAATTTCTAACATTAATTAATCTTTAAATTTACTAACAAATTTTGAAACATATTTCTAGGGCTAAGGAATTTGGAACAATGAAAACCTTGCCTTCATAGAAATTGACCAGTGAGCCAAGAAGAAAGAAAAGGTATCTAGCTTATGCAAAATTCTTTAAAAAAAAAAATTATATGAAAAATGAGGAGAAAAATTAAATTAATAAGAAAAGTGTGTCTGAACTCAAATGAAAGCTTTTGATTCAGTTCCTCATGACCAGTATTTAAGCCCAGTGTAAAATTACTCACCAATTATATTATTGGCCTTTAAATAAAAAACAGGGCACTTCAAAGAACTTTCTTTCAACAATCCAAGAAAGCTAAGTATTTCAAAAATTGAAACTCTCTTTGTCTATTTTTGAATGTATGACAATCTGAAAGTGAGCAACTCTTACCTCTATTTAAAACATTTTTAAATATTATTTTCTTTGTATTTCAGATCATTTAGGTACCCCCCGCCACTTTTTCATGGAAAAAACCTCATAGCTTGATGAAAAAAAGGGCCCAAGCCATAAATTTTATAATCTGTTAGATGAAAATTTCTTCTTCATTACAATTCGTTAAAACTCAGTCAGTAATATGCTATGAGTGATACACACTTAGGTGATCATGTATCTTTTGATACATGACTGATGAGGCAGACTTTTTTTCCAGCAGTAGGTTGCCATTTCTTTCTGTGGTAGACCACTTGCCATCTAAGGTTATAGAATCTGGTCTGTCCTACTATTTACCCATAACTGGAGGGAGAAGAAGAAGATTCACACCAAGGGTATAAGCACGTAAGTGAATATCAGTCAGTTATGTGCCATCGCTTAGGCGATCATGTATCTTTCGATACATGACTGACAAAGCAGGCTTTTTTCTCGCAATAGGCTGGCCATTTCTTTCTGCGGTAGACCAGTTGCCATCCAAGGCTACAGAACCCATAGCTGGAGGGAGAAGAAGAAGATTCATACCTTTCCTAAGGGTAGCATGTAAGTGAATAGATTCGAACTCGGCTCTCCGATTTCTCAATCCGCTATCCATTACTCCACGGACATTTAAAATTTCTGAATTATTTTCCCCGAAACGAGCTACTGACACAATTTCAAGCCGAATCAAGCGTGTACTGTAAAAATTTGTAAATAAATTCCCTGTTTTGTTAAAATTACCCGTGCGTTTCTTCATCTTCCTTCTTGGCATGGGTAAAACTGTTCAGTTTTTAACCCCTAAGCTCCACGTCACTATCGACAAATATTGGATTTTAAAGAAAGAGTATTTTATTTTTAAATTTGTTGTTTACATTTTTTTCGTCTACAACGGCGGTGGGATGAGTGATAAAAAAGTACTTAAATGTTTTAAAAATGCCTCAAAAACTAAATTACTTTTTCTTTTTATAAGGACTAATTATTTTTTTTTTAAGACCATTCTTTCAAAGAAGGCATGTTTTATTTTATTTTATTTTTTTGAAAGTCCGTGACGATAAAAGAAATTGCTTTAGTTTCAAAGTGTAACTTTTTTGACAAATATGACTTTGGTCAACTTAAAGAACAAATTAAATTTGAATTTGGACATATTTTTTTAAATAAAATTTAAGACAATGTATTTTAAATATTGTTAGCAATTTTATTTTTCCTGCGATGCTTTGCTAAATAAATTATTATTTGGTTGAGTAAAAACTTTCACTTCAAAACGTAAACAAAACCATCTTCCTTACATTTTTTTACATTCCTTACCTTACCACAACTTCGTATCTTGTACCTTTACTCTGTAAAAAGGTTCAATACACGTAAATGATGTTTGGTGATTATGCACACAGACACTGATTATTTATTCATATTTTAACCTTGATTTTCCTCCAAACAATTCCTGCAATGCAACGTGTTGTCATTATTTATTTGGCATTGTTTTTGTACGGACAGGATATCCGAAAACGCTGAAACAGGTACAATGATAATCGGCTAATACTTATGTAAATTTAAAACATGAACTGAAAATATTTTTGTTGTTTCATAAAAAGAAAAATTATAAAAGAAATAGGATAAGATTAGAACAGACATTCTCTACTGAAATTTTAAAAAGTAATTAAGTAATAATTGTGATGTAGTTCTGTTGTTTACGGCATTTCGACTTCGCATATTCACCTTTTGCACACACCCTTTATGTCATGTGATTAAATTTGGCGCCAAATGTAATACACGGAGTAAGAAAAATGGTCTTACAGAATTCTGGTAAATATAAAGGCGAACAGGATGGAGAATCTGCTGGGTACGTGCATTGGCTCTAATTATCAAGATGATTTTTTTTTTTTACATCCATTTTCGTTTGGATGTTTTCTTTCTTGATTTTATTTGTTTACATTTTTAAACTGCATTTCGAAGAGTGACTTGAACTTTTTTAAACCGACTTTCATCGTGTCAACAAAACAAAACTGTTTGTTTTTTAATGAAAACATTTACGCAATCGCTTTAAACTTAGAAGTTTTAATAAAGTACGCTTGTGAAAATTTATTGAAATAATACGGATATACCTACGAAAAAAACTTTTTTACGTACATTAAAGTGGAAAATTATTAATTTTGTATTTTTTGTTTCTTCATGAAACTTATTTTCTTTATTTTTTAATCACAAATAAATAATTCAATAAAAAAATGTTTATTGAGGTTTGTGATTAAAAAAATTATTGACATATCGTGAAGGAGTTTTTTTTCTTCAAAGAAAAATCTGATTGGTGTACCGAGTAAAAAGTAAAAACTTTGGAACATTGTTTCATTTTAAAATTATATTTTCCTTACATTTGAAAAGTAAGCTAAATTATTTTTAAATTTGAGGTAAAAAAAAATTAATCTGTGCATTGTTATAAAAACTAGAAATCTATTTTTAAATGATTCTTTGTTTTAACGTGTAAATTTTTATGATCGCAAAAATTTTAAGAAAAACTTATCAAAATGTTTTAGAGTGGCGCGAGGAAAAATGTTTTCACTTATTGTATAAAAATGCGAAGGAATTTTTATAAATTTTGAGAAATCACACTTCTCTGACCCACGTATTAGAGGAAAAAAATGATTGTATTTTAGTACTTTTTAGTTTGTAGTATCGAAAACAAAAGTGAATATGAGAAAAAATTTTCCACTTTGTCATCTTCACAGGAAAATGATTGTAAAAATTTTTTACACGCCAGTTGCAGACAATGTTGAATTAATTACATGAACACATAAAATAACTCAAGACACTTGTTATTTATAAAACAAATAATTTTATTTTTATTTCTTCAGTGAGAGACTTATTTTTAAACTTTTTTTAAAAAAAAATTGATCCGCTTTCTTTCCTGCGGGATCATAACAACTCTGAAGCAAAATTTTATTTTTTGAATGTTTTGATCGTGATCTTCAGTAGAATTTATTATCAGCTGGCGCGGTCAATCAGTACAAAACTGTACAATCATAATATTTGAAATTTGGTATTTTCAAATTTTTTTTAATAAAATGGAACTTTATCTATGAAAAGGTGATTGTTTTTATTCTTAATATTTGGAACTGTCCTCTTAATACATGTTTTAGAGACACATTTCGACCAAGTACCCTCAGGTCATCATCAAGTGACCATTGATGGCTAATATGGGATATCTGTTGATGATTATTGTAGTAGATATGTTCAAAACTTCGCTAAAAACAACATACCCTGATGAAAAAACGACCCAAACTTGATTGAACAATTTTTTATCGTCTATTATTGTGTTAAGTTATCAGTTCGTTTCTGTTGATTTGGTGCTTTACTACCCGATCCAAGGATTGAACTCCTGACCACTAGATAACAATAACACATGTATAACCAACTCCTGTATCAACTATGCTATCGTGGGATTTTTTTTTAATTAACCATCATTTATTCAAGACAGCCCAAGCTATGTGAATTTTCACATCTTTTTCAGTAGAATTTATTTTGCTTCCTAGCTATATAAAACTAAAAGATTTGACAGATTTTTATTTACCTGAAATAGTTTAATTGAGCCTTGATGGTTGAAATTTATGAATTCAATTTTATAGGCATTGACATAGAGACTCCAACATCGTCAGTAATATTTTCTCAATGATATTGGAGAGCTGTGATATTGACAATGGCGTTTGCAGTGATAGCTAGGTCATTTGTGTAGTCGATATTTGTTAACTTTTTTGCAGGATACAAATTTGAGAATCTTGGTGATAAAGTAAAAAAAAAACAAAAAAAACTAGATGGTGAAGTTTGCAATACATATTCATGGGTGTCACCCTGAAGAACCCCTACTTTAATGTCAAAGAACTTAGTGTCTCTGTCTAGATGTAATCTGGAAATGATCTACCAGATAACCCCAAACAGATTTTGCACCACTGTAGGGACGGTTTTTAGGTATGATGCCACTGCTTGACATTAACTAAAATCCTTGAATCTAAGCTTGATGGAACCTATACTCGGATGCTGAGTGCTGTAATTGACATCATGAACTGATTTTATTAGTTGGGTATCTGCTAATGAGATGGCAGCATCAGAATCAAACACTGGATCATGAACACAGCCAAGACACTGGAAGCACAAACAAGGATGAACAAATCTGAAATGATGCTGGGTAACATGGACAGAAATTCTTGGTAATGCATGGCATTCCTATTGCGCAGCCAGCATGATACACTACCAGACATTGCCTTTTCCTAGATAATATGCCTGTTTTTATAAAGCGTGAACCATTAATGGTTGGCTTGCAAAGTAATCATTTGTATAGCTAACATCGATCAGCTCACCATCCTATCTCATGGGGAATCTAGTTGACACTTGCTTTCTTCATAGCTGGGCACTTCAGGGTTTTGATCCTGCTGTTCTGGCAGGGCAGCCATGTGCTGTCATTCTAAAGAGACAGCACACTAAGCATCATCTCTTTGACTGGCAGGAGTGGGAACCATTATTGGTAGCAAATTGGCTGCTCCATCTTCATTTCATTTCCACTACACATCTCTTGGAGCCAAATCACAACTCCATGGACTCATCCTTGATATTTCTACAATCTTCTGTGAATGCACTTTGCAAGACACTGCTACCAAGCAAAACTAGAACTTGTGGGTGACACCTAGTCCTGGAGCAAGACTTGTTAGATAATACCTGCGACTCGAGTTTTCGGCATTTCATCTTGCCCTCAATATGTGAGTCTGAACATACAGTGATTTGTTCTCTGCAGTGTGGATGTAATCTGCGACTAACATTTCCTTTGCTTTCAGAACGCTTACAATTTGATATTAATCTGTTTTCAAAATGCATAATTAGAGGTATAGACATTGCTAATGCAATCACAACAGGGTTGGTCATGTTGTGTGCATTATTGATGAAAGCACATCAAAAGCTACTTGTATAGTCAACTGGATAATAGTTCTTGGAAAGTGGGAAGAGCCCTGTTACGGCACAAAGATAAGTTTAAGCAAAACCTAAATTCTATTGACATCCCTCTGTCATTCTTTGAGGAAGTGACTTCTGCTTGTGCTAAATGGGGGTGTATGTGCATAAAAAGCATTACAACTTTTGAGAGGTCACACATTGAACATCTTCGTATTACAAGGCAGAAACCTAAACTTCAATCGAGCATTCCTGGTGCCTTTACAGGGAGTGCTGTTCCTTGTCTAGTATGTGGGTTGGGCTTTAGTCATCAAAGGTACAAACACATAGGGTATCAAGAGTAGAACATACTATTGAGTCCATTATCTATACACACAAGTCATTCAGTGTCAAATCAACAAGAGTTTGACCACTGACAGTTTTTTTTATTTTTTTTCAAATTTGGTACACTTATAGAGCTTCAGGATTCAAATTGAATGGTACCTATTTTAAATATCTAGGTCAAAGGGTTTCCAAAATATGACTTTGACCTTTGCTAAAAATTTTGGGAAATAGTTACAAAGTTTAAATATCAATATCTCAGTTGTTTTTCCACCTACAAAACTAAATTATATACCATTTTAAAATACTTGGATAGATCTGTGATCTATTCATTTTTTTTTTTTTGCTTAAAGGTCAAATAAGATAATTTCTCAAAAAGTATATCTTTAATTTTTTTGAAAAATTTGATGAAAATTTGTCTGCCTTATCGCAAGATATGTACAAAACTTTGTGGTGGACTTTTGACTGTGGTCTGGGTTATGAGGGTTTTACTAAATTTGGCCAAATTCAAAATGGCAGAGTTTGGTATTTGCCACTATATGCTAAAATCTTCATATCTTCAAATATTGTCAAGTTATATATCTTTAGAAAGCTCTTTGAATGATGATTAATATTCACATAGGAACTATGATCATAAAATCAACAGTGTTATTTGTGGTTAAATGTTGATCAATTCTGAGGAAAATAAACAACTTTATTTTTGTTTTTTACATTTTTATTATACGACATAGATTGTTATCTGAAAAAAGTGACAATGAAAATAATTATTTAAAAAAGTGTCATGAATTAATGTTAAGATTACATATGAAAATATTCAACAAATGATGTTAATGGTTAAATTTTTGTTGGCATTTGACATAGTAAACTAAATGTGCAAAACATTCAAATATTCAGTATATATATAAAATTAAGTTTCGGAAAAAGTGATACATTGAAATGAACATTTACAAATAGATTTACAAGCAAATCTGTTAAAATTTAACAGCATTAGCTTACTTTTCTGAAAGTACTTCAACATCAGCTGAAGACCAACCACAGTCTTGTTGCATTTTTGTAGATACTGAAAATGAATTGTAACTTCTTAATGAGTCACTGTCAATGATTAGTGAATCACCAATCAAGTGTCAAAAAACTTGAGAAACAAACTAGTTATGAGTAAAAAAAAACAAAAAAGGGTAGGAAAAATTAAAGGAGCACTACATGTTGACAACAGGCAATGTATATTTATGTCATAATACTCATAAAAGCTTACAATTCTGGTTACTAATATTCCAAAAGAAACACTGGAACAAGAGATTAGTGAAGGAACTATTTAATCATGTGTATTAATAATACAATACTAGTGAATATCATAGTTATTACACCTCCTCTCATAGTCAGTGGAAGAGTCTGTGTTCAGCAATTTAGTGTAGTGAAGGTTCGTCATCTTTCTTCGCAACAGTTTTGTAAAGTAGGAGTATATTCACAATATTAAAAGTGTTAGTCTAAGAAAATCAGATGACTTCAGATTGTTACCAGAGTCCAACCTGGGTTTGTTTACTTTTATTTTTCTTAAAATAATGCTGGTATATAAATGAATATATTTTATGTATTAACTGAAATTAAGTAAAAAATAAAAAGAAGCCATCTTTGGTTCTATATATTCATTGTACTACAGAATTGTCAAAATGCCAAAAATCATGTTTTCATGTTCTTCATTTTAGACGAGAGGATAGCAGTGAGAAGCGTCTTCAAAGAAGCCAGCAGAACGATGAGATTGATTCCAGATTTGGATATGAACGTTACAAGGACCCATCAGAGAAAACTGGTTGGCTTATTAATATGCACCCAGTAAGTTGATCACTAATTCTTGAACTTATGAAAGATCCATTTCTGTTACATATATTTTCCTTATGGAGATTTCTAGAAAATTTTATTTACTCTCTAATCTTGATTTCCACATTTGGGGTTTTTGTCCTTTGACTTCTCAACACTTTTTAAAGGCCAGCTCTTATCCTAACATTTCTGGGTTAGTATTTATTGAACCACATCTACATCTCAACAATGTGAATCATTAATACATATAAATAAATTGCAATGTATATATGTCTAATATGTATAAATCAAATGCGCTGGCCGATCAATTTCATTGTTAAAACGAAACAGGATGTCTACTCAAACTTGTGTCCACTAAATATAACATTTACAACAAGAAGTAACGATGTTGGATTATAAACACAATCCATAAATTTCTTAGAAATTTGTTTTATATGCATATGGGTATGAATAGTCTTAATAAGATGTGCTTGTTCTTAAAAAGGGTTATTGAGTTTTGCTTTGTTAAGTTTTGTTGTGGTTGAACTGTCGAAATCATACTTGGCCTGAAAGTGGTTTCCTCAATATAAGGTGTACGTAGGTTGAAAACACAATAAAACTCTCTAATGTCCAGGCCAGTAGATTACACTGTTTAAAGAGACAACAAGAATGTCTGCTCAGACACCTGTATCCACTAAATGTAATATTTATAGTAATAAGACATATTTGTGAGGTGTACTTTCTATACCAGAGAATAAGATGCATTGGAAAATAAAACATTCTGATAACTCTAGCTACATGCATAAACCAATCTATATATTCAGTTAAAAGTAAAAATAAAATCATTCTTGATAATGGCTAAAAAGTATAGCCAAAAGCACTCGGACATACAGGACATTTGACAATTTCTATCTAATTTATGTCCAGAAAAGATTATAAGAACACAATAAAAATAAAACTTAACTGCAGTGCCTACTTTGTCATTTTTGATGAAACCTGTATAAAAGAGGTATTGCTACCTAAACACACAAGACAAAATACATACAAATAAATTTTGTTGTAATTCAAATATGAAAGATATAGAAATAACGCTGTGTTGTTAAAACATATATGGGAACTAAGAATGAAAGGGAAACACCAACAGTTGAAAAGGATAGAATAAAATCAATTGCAATTTATGTATAGAGGAGAAGCTGAAAATTGAATTTAAAGTAAATAGATTAATAAACAAGAAGAAAGAAGTTACATTTGAACGGTCTGACCAATGAGTGCTATCAAGCAGAGTTGTGATTATATAAACTTCAATCCCTCTGATTTGCTGAATATGAACAATAGATTTGGATGACAACAAAGTCACAGGTATCCATGCAAACAGTGTAACCAGGTCATGTATACAGTAATAATGGTATCAAGAGTAAAACTTTCAGACTCTGGATTTGTAATTTTGTCTGGCTAAAAAAAAAAGAAAAAAAAGGTACCATGCTATCAGTGGCACATTTTCAGTAGTTTGCATGGTAACCCTTTGATATTATAAAATTATTGCTGCTTAAATTTCATTTTATGTTTCTCAGTTTTAATGCAAGCTAGTAATTTTCTTAAGTGTTAAACATCTAGCAGAGTTACTAACAAATCCTCTTAAAAATGGTTATTTCTGTTATTAGTTTATCCACACTGGGGAAAATGTTATGTCCATACTATTATTATGTTTCGCATGTAAATCTTTAAATCTATTTTTTATAATAAAAAAAATAATAATAATATAAATATCATTACTTAATAATAATATAAATATTATTACTTAATAAAAACATAAGACTGATCCCCCATATTATGTCCAACTGAATCTTATATTAATACAATTTTAAAAAAAAATGTAATATTCCAGATTTTGCTAAACTTTCGTAATTCTTGCTTGAATTTGTTTTAAATTTGATGGTTTACTCTAAGCAGCATATCAATTTAATATAATCTGCTATTTCCTCCCTGACAATTGAAATTTATTCAATCATCTACATGTAAGATTGTTTTATGAATATCCTCATTGCCAATGTATATTGGTATAAAAAGGGTAGAATTGGTATATTTTCAGCATATTTTTGCCCAGTATTGTAAAATGTGTAAGTTAAGGATATATGGGAGGCACAAAAAGCCATTATTCATGTGTTGTGGGAAGCTGGGAATACTCAAAAGGAAATAGCTGACAAGGTGGAATGCTCTCAGTCTGCTGTTTTGAAGAGAACAAGAGAATAGATATTCATTGTTTCCTGTTTAGGGTTGGGTTTCCGGTTCCTTCTAAAGTCTATTTCAGCTCTGTAATCCTAATATTTGTCCTTTCCTGTGTTAATGTAATTCCACACAGTAACTCTCTACCTTGAGTGGCTCTTGGGCCTTGTGTTAGGTGAAGATTAAAAAAAAAAAACTTGTTCAAAAATGGCCCAACTGTAGTTCCAAAGTCAAGACAACAGCTTGAGATGAACGTCAGCTGAACAGGAACATTATTTCCAATTTGTTTGCCAATTGTGAAATTTCCAAACACAAGAATAATGATGGTGTAGCTGTTTCCTTGATCTGCAGCACTTGGGTGACTCCATCAGCTCAGATATGACAAAGATAATAGAAGGGTTCAAATCTAGGTTAGAGACACTTGAAGTTGGTCTGTTGATCAATGGAACCAGGTCGTTTTAAGTAGTGAATTCTGTATTTCCCTTGGTGATTTTGCTTCCCCCCCTCTCAGCATCATACAAGAGATACAATGTTAAATGTGCAAAACTCTTTCAATCTGTGATGGTATGGGGCTGTATTTTTGCCACCAGTGTTAGAAAGATTATTATTGAAGAGATCGGTTAACACTGCTGTCTTTCCAGATGGCCTGATTCATTTCCTTATCCTATTCATTGAGGACAAGTTTGGGGGCCATGAATTTATCTTCCACAGTGACCTTGCTTCACCCCATGCAGCAAAATTGACAAAAGAAATGTTTACAGAGAAGAGGATAACTATCCTGACTACTATTAGGTTGTAGATATAAGTTTTTAAAGATAATAATTAATGGTTAGACACTTGTATCTGACATAGCTAGACAATCCCTATTGCAGACTCCTGATCAGGCACATTGGTGTTTATCCAACACCCACAGAGCGCACTTGTAGTTTATACTATAACTATACTGAACGGACCTTAGTTACAGTTTCTGGGAGAGAGCGCATTATTTAGCATGGTCAACAGTCTGAACAAGGCCAGTGCACTCAAGCCCTTTGTCGTGATGACTTGTGACTTTGTGCTAGCGCAACCACCAATGACTCTAATGATATTTCATAGTTTAACCATGCTGTCAAAAGTAACAGCAATTTCTTTATCATTATTATTAGGTTTACACTTGTGGATTTTCTCTCCATATCACAAGGTTGTGAGTCATATTAGTATGCAAAGCAAAACTTTTTCATCTCTAATGTAGTACCTATAAAAAGAAAAAATGACAAAATTATTTCTGTACATTTTTTTATTTTTCATTTTTAATCAATTCATCCCAAGCAAGGCGATAATGACGCTAAGACACAATAGACTACTGGAAGTGAAAGAGAAAAAATACATTAGGAGGAACTGGGAATCCAATAACAAGAAACAAAAGATAACTCTCTACTCCTGTTCAAAAGATTGGGAAAGAGTATGAACTTGGCAATAAATGAGCCTATTTACTCCTATTGAGGCAGGGTGGGGATGAATAAAATTTCAGGAGTCTAGGCAGATTTTAGAAGTATAGTTAAAATAGAGTTTAGAAAGAACTGGAAACCTAATCCTGAATGGAAAGCAAAAGATAATACTTTACCATTGTTCAAAAGATTAGGGAGCTGTGTGAACTGGACGATAGGCAAACCTATCTACCCCTATTGAGGAAAAAATAAAAAAAATAAATTGTAAATAAAATTTCAGATTTTAGGTGGAGATGTTAAAAGTATAGAGTTGAAGTAGACTTTAGAAGGAATCAAAAACCCAATCCCAAACAGGAAACAAGGGATAAAGCTACAATATGAAGAATATATATATATATATATATACACACACACACACACACACAATTTTTTTTTCCTTTCTGATTAACTCTTTCACAGACTTTATTGGGGATATGAATGCAAGAATGTATCCCCCCCGACACACATATCTATGTAGAGTCATATAAGCAAATTGATACACAGCACAATATGCAAGCAACTTGGGCATATGTCTATGTTAATTGCATTTAAAGCTATGATTTACCAATTTGTGTGTGTGCGTGTGTGTGTGTATCTATATAATTCCCTTTCTCCACTGTGTGCGCTGATAGCCTAAGGGTGAGAGACTTCGATTGATGTCAAATTGATTGGGTTTTGATCCCAGCTTGAAGCAAAGCTATCACGTGTCTAGCCACACTGATGAACTGTGAAACAGTCTGTGGTTTATTTATTTATATATATATATATATATATATATATATACATACATACATACATACATACATACATACTCATCATAGATTTAAAGATGCTGATGCATATTGTTTACTATAAAGACCTGTGAGAATTTCATGGTTTTCCTATTTAAATTTTCTGATGAATCTTGATTCTATAACTCTTAAGTTAATGATTGAATAAGCTTATGGCAAGTTTTATGACAATAAAATATTCATGAAAATTCCCCTATCACACCATTAAAGCTTAACAAATTTAACAAAATATTGCAGTAACAATCAAAAATATAAAAGGTCATTGTTATTTTAAGTGGATAGAAATGAAAAGATTTGAAATTGACAACTTTCCCATTTCACTGAAACAGCTGTTACACATTTTTATTTTTCCCCTCTTTCTTTCTTTCATTTTCTCACTGAAATCAAGTAGTTTTTTTCCTTCTTTCCACTTGGTCAAAACAAAATAGTCCATTATTTATAAGCTATTAGCAGGAGACTTCTATCTTCCCTTATTTTTTTCTACTTAAATCTCTGTCTTATGAACATTTCTCTTAATAATAAATTTAAAATAATTCAGCAGACAATTCTATTTTATTTAATTTATGATAATTACATTTTTTTTATCTATAAAACATAGGAATTAGTGATGGGACTGTTGTAACCTTAGAAAAGGTTACTGAATAAGAATAACCAAAACAAAGGTTGGAAATGAATAATAATATTTATAACAGGAACAACATAACAAGATTAGCCAGTGGTGTGTAGTAAGTAATCAACTGCTAGTGGTGAGCTAGAAGTAAATCAAGGTGAATCCCAAGTGTAAGACAACATACAGTATATACTACTGTATTTATAGTAATTGGGACATACCCACTATTGTCCATAGGTACAATATAACAGGCAATTAATCAGGAATATTGGAATTGGGGAAACTTTTAACCTAATTTCTGATTCCCCAAACAATTCTTTGGATTTTTTTGTTTAAAACTTAATTTTCCATTCCTGATGTTAATGATAAAAACATATAAATATTTATTGATTTTAAACTGTCAGTAAAACTAAAATCTATAGATCATAATAACATCTAAGTATGATGTAAATTTATTTTACTTGTGTAAAAATAAATAAAATGTCCAAGTTTCTACTCAGTTCTCAAATTTTCCATGAAGTTTGCTAGTTTAAAGTCTGTTTCAGTTCAAAATAAAATTTTATTTTTAATTTCTTTTTAAACATTAATTCACTCATTTAATATTATAAATTATTAATTTGATAATTATAACCAAATTATGTATTATAAACATAAAAAGAATTCATGTTATACTGGGCTCTCTTTTTTTGAGTTTTTTTTTTTTTTTTTAAATTTATAAAAAAGAAAGTGTTTGCATTTAAAAACCTAGAAAAAATTTTTATATAATGAGATTCTAAGTATTTTTTTTTTTTTTTTAATTCAAATTTTAAATTATTCTTAAGTAGAAATTAAAAATAAAATTCCAGTTTTACTCAGCACTTAATCTGAAGGATAATATAAGGGTGGTGGTAGGCGTTTATGTTTCATTTGGTGGGAATTCTTTTTCTGAAACTTAAATTTGTTTCTACAAAATTAATGTATTTCTTAAAATTGTATAGCTTTCAAAATGGATTTTCATTTTTATTTACTTAAAAAATAAAACTTTTATTTGAAGTTTTCTGAAATAAAGCTTTTTCACACAAAAGTTTGTATTAAAAAAACTAAAATTTAATTTCCATCAAAAATTGTATTTTTATTTTATTAATATTTTTTCTTGGCCTAATTGAACTTTCCTGAGTTAAATTATTATGGCATTTAAAATATTTTTTAACTGTTTTCTCATTTATTCCTGCACAGGGCCAAATAAGATGCAAGTTTTATTTTTTATAAGAAGTGTATAAAAAAAAAATTTTAAAACGAGTATTTTTATCTTATTTTTATCTGGAGTGATTAAGCTATAGTATTTTCCACTTTTAACATGATTTGTTTTAATATTTTTGAAATAAAACCAATAAAATTTCATCTAATAATCTAATAAATAACTGGAAAAAAAATCAATCCCATGCAAAAAATACACATTTACAGTTGTTCTCATTCTTATGAAGATTTCAGTCCTTTTTATTTTAATGCTTTGTAACAGTTGACACTCATAGCTCAAGTTGTATATTTAACTTTCAACTTATTAATATTTTTAAAAATTTATTGTAAAGTTTGCTAAAGATGCTTATATCTCTTTAAAAAAAATCAAGGTATATGTTTTTACTGTGTTGTTTCACTTTTACTCTTTCTTTTAACAAAAATAAAACACTTTGATTCTTTTAGAAATTATTAAAAAATTTTAGCAGTGAGAAATTCATTTTAGACAGTAAAACTTATTAATGATTAAATTTTTCTAGATTGAAGACCCTTTATTATTTACTTATTAAATTGCCGTGATAATTCATATTTAATTCTTATTAAGAATAAGTAAACAAATTTAAAATTTTTGTTTATTTTATTCACTGTCCTACAGGATTAGGTTCTCCTTTTATTTTATCAAATTATATGCATGAGTTAAACCACAATACATAGGATGATATTTATATTAGGGTGTCTCTTATTTTTGAAGTGCGTGCTGAAATTGAATTGTCACCCCTAAATTTGTTCCATTCATTGAAAAATGCCACATATAAAATTTTAAGGAGATTGCATAATATTTAGAGGGTGCCTTTGCTTGTTTAAACTTGAAATATATAAGATGGACAAAAAAATAGACTCTTTTTTTATTTTTAAAATTAATAGCAAACCATTAGTTGAATCTTTACAAATTATACACATTAGAAAACTAGAAACATTTTTTATCTCGAAGTGAAAAATTAGAATTTTAACCAATCATTATTATTTTCAGACCCCAATTATGGCAAGTGGATCCAATCCAAAGCAGAAAAGTGTAGTTTGGAAATTTAAGATTTCTGATGATAACCAGAGTAAAGCGATATGAACAGTGTAAGATGCAAATAGTTAGAGGAGCAAATGTTGCTGCCTTCACCACAACAAATATGTTGAAAAAAATTTGTCAATGACTTTTTTAAGCAACAAATTTTACATGAAGTTATTGATCAAAGTCAAATTCGGGATATAAGACAGCAAAGCCCAAAAAATTCATGAATGTATTGGAGAAATGATTGCAATTGATCTGCAACCTTTTTCTGTTGTAAAAGACCTTGATTTTAAAAGACTGTTGAACCATATAAGTCTGAATTATCAAATTCCCTCTTGAAAGTATATAAAAGAAAATATTGTGCAAGATATGTATATAAGTAGTTTAGAAATTAGATACAAGAGGAAATCAAGTTACTCATGTACCTCTGGCTAGTGATGGCTAGACTACTGCAAATTTCGAACAAAAAAGCCCACTTCTAAGAATTACTCTATTAGAACTATCACACACTGCAATAAGTATAAGTGAATGTATCACAGAGACAGTGCAGCAATTTAATATTTCTCATAGTAAAATTCATCTTCTTATAAGTTAATATGGTAGCAGTGGCTGTACAAGCCCAATATGAGTTTATACCTTGTTTTCTATACACCTTGCAGTTGACCATTAATGATATCATCATTGCACAAAGGTCTGTGAAGGATATGCTTTCTATTTGTAAACAAAATAGTTGGCTACTTCCAATCACTCACCTGCAGCTTTTGTAAAGTACCAGGAATACCAGAAAAAAATTAATTTACTGGATCATAAATTTATTCAGGATGTCTAGACAAGATGGAGCAATCAGTATTATATGATGTCCAGAGTATTTGAACAAAAATGCTCTTGCAGTGATCATGCAAAACCACATTGTTTAGAATCCAACAAATGGAGAATTTTAGAGAAATTACTGAAAATACTTAAACAATTCATTGATTGTGCACATTTATTAAGAGAGAAGCAACTCCCTCTTACATTATATGGCACAGTAAAGTTATTTATCCCTTTTTTAAAAGGGGAGAAGAAAAATGGACTGTTTTATGGGTTATGTTCAACCCTTTCAGCATGTAAAGCTTATTTTAATGCTAGATTTAGCAGCTACTTGGAAGACAAAAACCTTATTCTAGCAACATATCTTGGTCCCAGGTTCAAGACTGTAAATAACTACAGTGGCCTGCCTAATGCAGAATGGTTCACTTCTATAATAGAATGAAAAACGGACACTTCACCCAAAGTATCAGCACTTGTGGCCTGATGATTGCGTCTAGCATGAAACACTGTTGCTTCTAAGTGTTGACTTCAATGTTTACTTTTATATTTTTATATATATATATATATATATATATGAAACATTTTACAGATGTCAAATGTTTTCAGCAAAATAATTGTAAACATTATGGCAATATGTGAACTCTGTATTTAGCAGCTTGTATGGAATTTTCAAAGGTTCTGTTTGTAAATTAATAATTTTTCTTTGTAGGCTGATATCCTGGATGAAGACAAACGTCTTGTAAGTGCCGTAGATTACTACTTTGTTGAAGAAGATGGCGGAAGATTTAAGGTCTGTATCTTTGAAATATTTTTTTTTTAAATATAGTTTAAGGTATGTTTTTAATGTCATATTTCACTCAATGTTTTACTTTCTTTTTTTTTTTTAGCACCCATTTTTAACCCATTAAGATGTGAGCTCCACTTTCAGAGTCCAAAATGGTTTTAGCACTTCCACCAAAAAACATAGGAATAGAGGTCTTAAGAATGATTTTCTGCCAAAAGTGTGTAATGGTCAATTTAACATGTGAAAAAAACCAAATGTGTTTAAATATCTTCTTGAGAACAATTTTCTTACATTTTGTAGATTTAAATTTGGGAATTTATAATAAGAAAAAGAAAAGATTTTGTCATGGGGATTTTTTGTTGGGAGGTCAGAGACTAAAAGAAGCAAAATATGGCAAAAAAAATGTTAATTTAACTGAATTTTGTGTTCTGTTAATCCACTTGATTGTAAGTCATTTTTAAAAAGACTCAAGTTAAAGCCATCTGTCACTTATTTATTTAATTTTAATTATTTTAATGTGCAATTTTAAACTCAAAATTAGATTCAAGATGGAATGCGTTATTCAAACATTATCTGTATAGGTAATGGGTATCATTATCATTGGTTGCTGACAAAGCTAAAGTGAAATTTTTGAAGTTGTGTTTCAAAGCTTCTGATGAATGGTTGGAATTATTCAATGGGTTTGATTAGAACAAGGAATGTCAGGATGTATTTAATTACAATATTTATTGGTTCAACATCAAGTGTATGATGCTATTATAGTCAAGGGAGTGATTCGAACATTAATGTTACTAGTCAGATGTTTACATAATGCCAACTGTCAGTGTCAACATCAAATGCTGATCTCTGTCGGGACTGTTTGAATTTGGGTATATATAGTTTTTTGTCAGCTTGAAATTAAGGTTTTGGTTTTTTAGTGGGAATGGCTCTGACTGGTCATTAATTTGTTTTGGTTAAAGCGGATGTATGCGTGGAGCTGACGTGTAGAAAATGAATTGACGCAGTCTGTTTTCAGTCTTTGGCCAACATCTGGTTTGTGCAGAAAATGTAAGAGGCGCAACAATGGTGAAAAGAAATTTTTTTTTTTTTTAATATATGGTTTGTAAACAATCCTTTGGGTAATTGATTCCATCACTCTTCAGTTATGCCACTAGAATGGAGTTATTTACTGCTATAATTTGTTCTATAGACCAACCTTTTTTAAGTAGGCTAGTATATTCTTTCTTTTTATCTTCTTGAAAAGGTCCTCTAGACTAGTCAGGTTATAAAATTGTTCACATATAGGGGTAAAATCACTACAATTGCTTACAATATGTTTTATTGTATATACCTCCTGACATGCTCTGCTTATTACACTCATTTTTTTCAAATCTCATTTTTTTACATTCTTAAAGCTAATTTTCAATTACTTATTTGAATGTTTTGTGATCCTTGTTAAATATTTTTGCAATTTCCAACATTCTCATCATTCAATAACCTTTACAGTATTTTGGATTTTGAAGTTTCTATCTTATGAATCAGTGCATTCTTTATATATCTGAAATTAAAAAAAAATATTGAAAGTATTTCTATATACTTTATTTTCTTGTCTATAATATGAGAAATTGAAAAATGGAAATTGAATGCGAAAAAGGGAGGTTGTATTATAAACAAGTACATGTTTTCTGAAATTTTTACTCAGCTTAAAAATACTCTTAGTCGAAACAGCAAGATTGAAAATAGACTCAACGTAAAAAAAAATTTGAAAATAAGTTTAGAAATGGAAATTAGAGAAAACTTGCAATGGCCAAACATTCAGTTCATTTTTACTTTAATATTGTGAGAAATTAAATATTTTAGTGTAATATGTGTATGACATAGAGATTTCAATTGATAATATGGTATTGCTAAAATTACACCTTTAAGTGCCGACTCTAGGTGCATCATCGGTGTTATTGCTTCCATGTCACTAGAAGTTTCGGGTCTAAATAAACAACAGACTTCTTCGATGGGTGACCCAACCGAATATGATCAGTATTCAGTCCGCACCCAGAGTAAATTTGCTACTAGCTTTAGGACATGCTTTATATAAATTCCCCCAGAAAATGGCAACTAATCAAGTCTACACTTGGGCTATTTGATGTTATAAATCTGGTATGCTTGGTTGTACTGATTTTCCTACATGAGGCCAAGACGGGGTGTTGTTTTTTTTTGTTTTGTTTTTTTGTTTTTTTTAAAGAAGAAAAAAAAATAAGATCAAACCAATAAATATATATACATTAATAAAATAAAAAATCTGAGTTATTATATTGGCTCATTTTATGACTTTTCTTTCTCTTCTTCCCCTTTTAAGTTCTTTATTATTTCTTATTTGTTTGATCTTTTTTCTCTTTTTATAACTTTCCTTTTTATTCTTAACTAGACTTTAAAAACATTTAAATTAGAGTGATTAAAATGGTACAACTTTTCAAAAAAAATTACATCAGGATATCTGTACTACGTGGTTGTATTATAATCAAGCATGTAATTCATTATGTTTTTAGCTTCAGAAACACTGGGTTGTATTATACACAAGAAAATACAGTATATTTATTTAAATATGATTAAGAACTGTGAGTAGCCATGGTCAAATGCAAAATAAGTAACAGAATTGTTCAAGTTTGCAATAAGCAAGAAAAAGAAAAGAACAGAGCAAAATATAATATAATGCAAGACAAATTAGCAGTAATAAGGCAGAACAACAGTAATATGTCAAAAAGCAAACTAAGAATTGGAGTTGACACACAAAAGCAAGTTCAGACAAGTGAATGTAGCATTCTGCCTTAAAGAGAAGACAGACTGGGACCGAGTCAGATGAAACTGAGAACCTGCCTATTTTATTGGCTAAGAAAAAATTCCAGCATGTATTTGTGTGCTTTTGCTTATAAATTGTGGTGGAGCAAGTGTTTTGTAGTCATTCCCTAGTTTGATTGAAAACCAGCAAGAACCCTTGAATTGTATAATAGAATCTCACCTCATCAAATAAATTATTATAAGTGGTTTTCGTGGGAAAAAAAAAGATAATTTAAGCTAAAATTTACATGGTAACTTTATCACACAAATATTTGACCAATATCAGCTAGTTAATACCAGATAGTGAAAATATTCATTTGTATAACGAAATCTGATAACTTTTTATATGGTTTACCAATATCAGCTGGTTAATACCAGATAGTGAAAATATTCATTTGTATAACTAAATCTGATAACTTTTTACATGGTTTACCAATATCAGCTGGTTAATACCAGATAGTGAAAATATTCATTTGTATAACGAAATCTGATAACTTTTTATATGGTTTACCAATATCAGCTGGTTAATACCAGATAGTGAAAATATTCATTTGTATAACGAAATCTGATAACTTTTTACATGGTTTACCAATATCAGCTGGTTAATACCAGATAGTGAAAATATTCATTTGTATAACGAAATCTGATAACTTTTTATATGGTTTACCAATATCAGCTGGTTAATACCAGATAGTGAAAATATTCATTTGTATAACGAAATCTGATAACTTTTTACATGGTTTCTTGTTTGAAACATGATTTTATTTGTATAAATTTTGTTTCATTTCAGGCTACTCTTCTTTTTCGACCTTACTTTTACGTGGCTACAAAAGCCAATTGCGAAAGAGAGGTGGCATCATATCTCACAAAAAGATTTTCAGGAAAGATTGCTTCTGTGGAGACGATTGCTAAAGAGGATCTTGATTTGGTAAGCTTTTTTAAAATTTTTGTATGTGCATCTATTTTTGCTAAATCAAAATTTTATATATTGACCAGATAAAAGTACAAAATAAGGTGGTGGTGGTTATCTTTTCATATTTAATACAGCTTGTGTCAGCTGCAGAGCTCCAGACTAAAATTTTGGATCACCCTGGAAATGTTCTCCAAAAACAACTTTGTCCTCTCCCTCCCCCCACTCTCAATTTTAAACTAGTCCAACAATTATATTTTGTTTTTTTTTTTAATTTAATCATTTATAGTTGGTAGCATCATATATATTTGTTAATAGCATAATAAAAGTATCATTAAAACATTTAGGAAATAAATATTGTTTGATCTGTGTGTGCATGTTGCATTTCTTAACCCCTTAGTATTAAACATGCTCAAACCTGCCCCGTAAATATCAGCTCTCAAAGTCACAATGTTTGTGTGACTTTCTGCATTATTTGCAATGATGTCTTCATATATTTTGATAGAGTTTACATGTGGTGTTGTAACAGCGGGTTGAACATTGAGAGCCAATATTTGCAGGCTGGGTTTTGGTAGGTTGAATGCTAAAGGGTTAAAAATACCCAGCACTATTGAAAATCAGGAACATTTGATTGTTAATGGTCAGGAATTAATACAAGCATTACTGGCAGAATATATCTATATGTACAATGTAAATTTATTGTCAATGATTTTACTACAGAAAATCATTCAAAATTAAGAAAAGTATTCTCAGTTATCGAGAATGAATGCCTGCATTACAGATAGATTAAGGCTATTATATTTAAAATTGTTTGTCAACATTCATGTCTTGTTTCTTTGGTTCTTGTTTTGTTATTTGTTCTCTTAAAAAGAAAAAAAAAAGATTTTAGTTCTAAAGAGCTAAATTCTTTTAGCACCTATCTCAAAAACTTTATTTGATTGCCTAATATTTCTGTTTGTTCCAAAGCATAATCACCTGGTGGGATTGAAAAGAACATACCTGAAGTTATCTTTCCTCAGTGTTGAAGAACTAGTGAAGGTAAAGCGGGACATTATGCCAACAGTGAAAAAAAACAAGGAACGAGAAAAGTCCATGGATAATTATGCTGCTATGTTGAACATGTAAGTTTTCAGGATTTTATCCACCTGCAAACATTCAGTACGAAATTAAGCCTACAACCAAGTATGCATGTATTTATGGTTCTGTGACTTGTTTACATGTATTGTCTGTGGTCAAACTGCATGTCTCACTAAACATATTGACAATTTTGTCAGGTCATTATATTACCATATGTATTTATGATTGTATATTAGATTTGCATACATTTGTACATATGATTAAATAAGAAACAAGTACATAAAATGTTTATAGATTTAATGTTTTGTTATTTGGCTTCGTAAGAAATTTTGTGTAAGTGGAATAATTTGGGTATATATTTCAATTTTTAAATTTTGTCTTCATTGGTTGTGGGGACATCATGTTCAGGGCTGAGTCAAGGGTCTTGTGTACCATCTATGATACAGGGCCGCCATCCTATTTCATCTCAAATTTTGGTATGGTCAGTCAGTTATGTGCCATGCGTGATACATGCTTAGGCAATCATGTATCTTTTGATACATGACTGACAATGCAGATTTTTCCCCACAGTAGGTTGCCATTTCTTTCTGCAGTAGACCAGTTGCTATCAAAGGCTATAGAACCTGGTCTGTCCTGCTATTTACTCATAGCTGGAGGGAGAAGAGGATTCATACCTTTCCCAAAGGTATTAGCATGTAAGTGAATGTAATATTATAACCTAATATTGTACAATAATGGATCATATGCAGTAAAGGTGAACAATTCAAATAGAAATTTTTTTTAAATAAATACAATGTATTTAAATACAAATTAGAGACATGTCATAATAGATCATTACATCTTAGGTGTTTTTTAGTAATTTTTAACATCAATTTTAGATTTTTCTTCTTAAAAAGTTGACTAATTTTAAGACCATCAACATTATAGATAAAAAAATACAGTGAATTTTATATTGTGCTTTTTTTGGGACTTAGCATGAGCAAAACATATTCACGGATTTGAAAAAAAAAATTTAAGCGGATCTTAGAGTGACGTAAAAACTTGCAAAAATTTTTCATCCTTTAATAGTTGTGCATAGTTTAATTTGTAACGTATAAATAAATGTAGGTAAAAAAAAAAGCAAATATTGATAAGATAGTAAGGGTCATAAAGCATTGCCTGTGACTCCCAATCAGGCTAAGTTCAGTATATGCACCGGCCAAAGTCATGTATACCTCATGGCATCGGCATGTATGTTTAATTCTTGAAATGTTAACATAGTTTAAGTGTGTATTAAAAATGGATTTATTTGTGTACAGTATGTCTGTGGGTTATGATGATCCTGACCTCCAACGATTCATGATTATGACACAATCTCCATTAATCTTGTTTCAACTTATACTGTTTATCTCTTTCAGAAAGCAGGATGGACTAGTTCCTGCCATATTGGATTGTAGTGTATCTGTCCTCTTTCATTTGTGTTGTGTTTGTAGAAACTTACTGCCCTTCATTGTGGCGCCAAAGTATAGTGTAACCTCTTCCGATAGTGGTGCTTTGATGAAAAGGAAAGCCGTCACCAAAAATGAAATTAGACATTGTTAAATGCTCAGGAAAGGGAGAAATCACAGCAGACATTAGCCAGTTGCTTGGCAAAGTTGATATGTGCATACATATTGAGTTTCCCTGTAATAGATAAGGACATTTTCTTGTCAAACTATTTTCTGGCTTTAAATAACCCACAAAAAGTTGATAAGCTGTAGAAAATAAATGAATTAATCAAATACTGATGGGATACACAGGCATATCTTTTAAATATATTTACATTCTCTAGGATATAAATGTATAGAAACTACTGTGGCCACAAAGTGAGGGATCAGTTTTGCAATGTAGAATTTATCCACCACTTTATATTCACATGATTTCTTGTTTTATCAACTTCCAATAAGACATGAATCCATCTTTTCTCCTTCCTTAATTAGTATGACTGGTATCACAAAATCATCCCCCCTCCCAATTCTTACAATCTAAAAATATTTTCTGGATTTAAATAACCTGCAAAGGGTTGATAAACTGTAGAATTGAATCAGTCAACAATTAATACCTTCACACTCACACATCCGGAATTTTTCTCTACTCTTCTCGTACTGTGATTGAGAGGTGATAAGAACCACCAAGTATTTTTTTTTGTCCTAGATGCATAGTATGTGTATAATCTGACCCCTAACAAACCACAAGACATAATTCAACCCCCAGTAACCACCAGATATAACTTGTACTTGTACTGGTCTCCAAATACAGCACACCTGTCTGGATTTTGAATAGAATACTGGTGAGTGGTGGCGTTACAGATCTACACTTCAGTTTAGGTGACTTGTGTTCAGTGTGATCATCCTTGTTGGTTCCTTTCCTTCACTGGGTTTGTCATCTAGACGACTCAGTTCATTGTGTTACTCATAAGCCTTGGATTTTCGTTAGTCTAGGTGAGAATTCGATTGACTGTTTTCTCAATGTTACGTGATCCAGGTGAAAAGGTATAAATGTGCTAATCAGAAGAAAATAGTACTGTCGAAAAATTAAGAATTGGAAGTGAAATGTAAAATCATACAACAGCTATGTTGCTACTTTGTCCCAGTCACTCCTTTTTTACCCTTGAAGCAAGTTCATACTGCTTGTCAGCTAAATGTAACACCAAAAGCTAATCTAATTTTGCATTTTATTTGCAGGCATCATGGTAATGAAGAAGGTGGTCATGTATCCAAGAAAATAGCTGAGCAAATGGATAATATAATTGATATCAGGTAAATAACCAAAAAGTAAAACTGAATCCTTATATTTTATCTACTATGAAATGGTGATATATCTGAGCTGATTTTTGTATTGTCTTAAGTGATTTTTAAAACTGCAACACTTTTTTTTTATTCTATAACTTGTTAACAAATATGAAAAATATTATGCAATGTGAAGCCTACTCATTTTAACTTATTAATGCTCACCATAAAACTTAGCATTATAAAAATAAAATTCTGTTATTAATTATAGGTTTTCTAATACAATACAGTATTAAATAATGGTCCATAAAATATCTGGTATTTATTATTAAAGGTTTAAAAAAAATATGGCATTGAAGTTTTATAAGCCATTAATGCCAAACATAGCATTTTTGGAATGGGAGCATTAATAGTTTAATTTCAGCCTTGCAGAATTTTGTTGTGTTGCAGCTTAGATAAGACTAGGAGTAGAACCCAGCGTTGCCCGGGGATGTAACAGTAAGAGATAGATCAAGTATCGACCATCATAAAGACTGAAAATTAATTTTGACAAAGATTATTGTTTAAGGTTGACGGACACACGTCTTAATTAGTTTTTTTTTTTTTTTTTTTTTTTTTTACAAATTGGTCAAACCCAAACTCAAACAAAACATTGTTTTCAATCGTTATGAGTCTACCGATTGAATAGAATTTTATTATAAACAATTGCCTTGTAAATGGAATTTTTAAAGCATTCTGAATGTAAAAATAAAGAAAAAAGTGTGCAAGAAAATAAGAAACACTACCTGCCAAAAAAAAAAAAAGTGAACTTTTGTTGAAATCGGTTGAAAAATGTAGGACATCCAATCCCATATATAAATGAACACACACACACACACACACAAACAACCTGGGTTTTATAATAAGTATAACTTGATAGGAGTTGTCCTCCTTTCATTCTCGCGACAGCAATGCCTCTTAATCATGTTTTCAAATTGATTTTCTGCAAAAACAATTGTGTTTTTCCAATTTTTGGTGCTGTCAGAACCACCGCAAGGTAATTTTACGTAGTCCTGTGAAGTTTTGTTGAAATCGGTTGAAAAATGTAGGAAATCCGATCCAATATATAAACGAACAGACACACACACACACGCACACAACCTGGGTTTTATAATAAGTATAATCTCAGGTTTTCTTCCAGCCAAATGCTTGTGGTTTAAAAAGTACCTTTCAGCCAGGTTGTTACCCACGAATAAGATAAAAACAGGACAATTCCTAGCATTAAACTAGATTTTATTCTTTGGTTGTAACCTACTGCTATAAGCAAGCAAAGTAGAGATGAGGCATATATGAATGGGGAAGTGCTCAATTCAGCTGCTGTCTGATCTGTGAGGCCTGCTTCATTCCTCTGTGTGCCTTTTTGTGAGATGGCCAGTTTTATAATAATTTTCTTTCTCTTGTCATCTTTGTCTAAAAAAAGTCATTTATGTTCCTTTCATGACTTTCTCTCTGTCTGAGCCTCTTGCTCTGTACTTTGAAGTTGACTTAACTTACTGATAATCATCAGTCAAAAGTAAGAGTTCCGTATCTACTTTTGTGACAGGTCATCCTGTTTTCAGTTTAACAATACAGCTGACTCATATTACTACAATTTCTTAGATGAAACATTGTCATTATTATTAATTTTTGACTAGTTTCTCATTCATCTTATTATTGTTGTTTTTTATCCCTACTCTCAGGTCATTTTTACATTCTATGACTGTTAAGCAAGCAGCCTGGATCAGAAAGAAAGAATAAGAATTTCTGAGATGAAACATTGTCATTTATATTAATTTTTGAGTAATTTCTTTATCATCTTATTATAGTTGCTTTTTTCACAATACTCAGGTTTTATATTTTACAAGTCAGTATCATAAATTCAAAATAGTGGATGTGCTTTCAATGAATTTTAAACTGACACCCATACCATTGTAGATTTATCATTAAACTTGAATTTTTTTTATTAATTTTCTAGAGAATATGATGTTCCTTATCATGTTCGGGTGTCAACTGATTTGAAAATCTTTGTTGGGCACTGGTATTCAGTAAAAGGCCGTGGTTCCGCTTCCCCCGAAATTAGACTTCGGGATGACTTAGTTGACAGACCTGTAAGTATTTTGTTTCGCAGTGTTACAAATAGACACTGAAAATCCTAGTTAAATGTTTTTTTAATCTTATTTTGCCTCCATTAAGGTTAACTTGGCAACTTATTAAAAATAGGGATAAGATTTGGGGGAATAATTTTTGTATAATAACAATCATTAGAACTTCATATGAGCACAGCATTTGTCAGAATAAAGAAATATTAGAATTTGGATTCTATTCATAATATAAATTGATCTCTGATTTTTTAGAGTTATCTGTACATTATTATTATTTACAACAGTCAAATTTGAAACTGCTTATGTCATTGATAATTGCATGCTATAAATGTTGTCCTTTTCTTTCTAATTTGGGTTTTTATTCATTCTTTAAACAAATTATCAAGACATTTTTGTTTTTACATATTTTTGTATATCAGGAGCAATACTGGGGAAGAATGTATGACAAAGTGGAAAAAGTTTTCTTGTGACATATTTCATCCTTTAGTACTTCGGCGGACTAAATTTGTTATGTTGGTGTGACTACACATGTGCATGAACGAGGGAGTGTTGGGAATTTTGACCAAACACTTTATGCTGTCCACTGGGGTAGATTGTTCTAGTTCCACATGCCATGCCTTTTCTGAATATCTCCAAGGACACATGGCCCAGTGGATAAAAGCACTGGTTGAAGTAATCCAGTGACTTGGCACGAAGAGTTGTTACTTCAATACTTGGCCACGGCAGAGGTGAACAAAAATTTGGAGAGTTTAGTTACTAAAGAAAAATAACAAACTAAGATATCCAGAAGAGGCATGGAACGTGGAACTAAAACAATCTACCCCAGTGGGTGAAATAAGGGGTTTGGTTCAAAATTCCAATCACCTGAAGAAGGTCGGAACGTATAATAGCCGAAACATTGTGAATATGACAACAAAGATGAGGATGACAGTCTGAACAATGTAAATAGTTACAATACCTCTTCTCAGAAATATCGACAGATATCAGGGAGGTCTTATAGATGCTAATCTATTAAAATTATTTCCCCTCCTCTCCAAATAAATATTTTCTTAGTTTTTATGAGTTGTCCAGTTAACCTCACTAGTGCCTTTATTTCATCATTATTAAAAATTAATGAGAAGTTTTTAAATTTTATTATCAGCAGATATAATTGTAATATATCCGATGTAGGTGGCACTATCTTTATCACAATTTTAGAAGGAAAACTCCAAGAAGTATTAGATAAGATAGTTGAAGAAAGCAAGAAGAAAGGACTAACTGTTAATTGTAAAAAGATGAAATCCATGGTCATAAACAAAAGGGACAATTCAAGATGTAAATTATACATTAGGGATGTCAGGATTAAACAAGTGGAGAAATTTAACTCTCTCAGCAGTATAATAACAGATCATGGAAAGTATGACACAAAATTTCAAAGGTGCATAAGAAGAGTGAAATTTGCTTTTTGCAAACTGAGTAAGGTGCTAAAGTATAGTAAAATAGCATTATAAACAAAGAAAAGAGTGTTAGAGTGATGTTGAAAGGGTCAATAAAAAAAAAATGGAACTTTTAGGGGTTTTTAATGAAATTTGCATAATGTCATTGTGTATATTATCAAGTGTCTACATCATGTCATATTGTGTATATTCAAATGTCTACATCATGTTCTATGTGCGTACATTACTCATGTCTCTACAGAACATCATATGGTGTTACTTGTGTGTCTATATAATGTCACAATAATAGATTAGCTAACATGTTTCACTTTTATTAAAGCTTCACCAGAGAATTTAATAAAAGTGAAACATGTTTCTTATTTGTTCTTTATCTTATTGTTCTGTCAGATTCCGATCCATACTTGATCCCAATTCATAACGTCATAATGTGTATGTATCATATTGTAGGATCCTGTGGTATTTGCTTATGATATAGAAACTACAAAACTACCTCTGAAGTTTCCAGATGCTCAAACTGACCAAATTATGATGATTTCATACATGATTGATGGTCAGGTAAGAATATTTTGTTTTTCTATTTTTCTCTGCCATTGAGACAAGTTTATATATTTGTTCATTTCACAAGTAATGTCTGAAGTTAGAAAAAATGTCAAAAGTTTGTGTTCAATTATTTTTTATTCATTAAGTTACATCTTTATCAGTGACTTCTTTTCAATGATTCATGAGTTTGGCAATTCAGGTATGCCACTAATTTTCCGGCACTCTTTGTTCCAGGCCTAATGTTGGATTATCTATTGTACCAGATCAACAGAAGTCTGAAAATAACATTTCAGTAACACTTCTAACCTACTAATATGCATCTTGTCTTTCTGAAGCAGTATGTATTGTTTTGAGCATATCAGATAATATGATTTTTAGAAAGTCAAACTGTTGTCATTAATGTTTATGTTTGAAAAAAGAATAATAATGGCACACTACTTGTTCATGAGTCTATATGCAGCTGGTGTATTGGATAGCAGTTTGGAATAAGAAATCTGATTACAAAGTTCAAATTCCAGTTGAGTTCATTATATTCACTTATGCACAAATACGCTTGAAAAAGGTATGAATCTGTATTCTCCTCTAAGCTATGGATTAAATAGTAGGACTGGAAAAATCATTGTTGCTCTCAAAAGATTGCTAATGTAATATTCACTTACAAAAAACAATTATTTTTACAATCCAAAATGTTTTAGTTTGAAATAACCCAGAAAGAATTGATAAGCCATAATCAATCACTTAAACTGATATTTAAATATTTATCAATCACTCAGACTGTTTTCTGAGCACAACTGTAAACCCAATCCCTTTTGCAGATGTCTGCTCAGACAAAATTTTGTTCGTTTGGCGCCCAAAGAGCCCAACTGCAACTATGCTGAGTGGACATTACTTAGAGTTTCTGGGAGAGGGCACATGCATAATCTGGCATGATCAACAGTTTGAAAAAGGCCAGTATACTTAAGCCCTCAGTCACGATGACTTATAACTTCATGCTAACACAACCATCAACAGCTTCCAAATAACTCTATCTAACCAATCTCACTTACAAACTATATATTCAGGAGTAAATATCGCCCATAAGGTGTATGTTAACCCTGTGGACCCCCTCATAGAGTATAGGGCAACAGCCTCCCTAAATGAGGTGTTGCTGCTGTAGTTTCTATTGTATGTTTTTGGGATGGAGTTGCTTATCACATGCTCAACTTGTTTTGATTTTTAGGGTCTTCCTTCTAGACAGATTAACAACCAAATCTAGAGAACAATCTGCTCTGTTATTAATTCATAACAGCAGGTTACTTGTTTCTGAGCATACTTGTCTACTAGGGAGACTGCTCAGGTACATCTGTGTTTATCCAACACCCTAAGAGAGCCCAACTGGGGTTTATACTGCAACTATGCTGAGAAAACCTTAGTTACAGTTTCTGGGAAAGAAATAATCTGGTATGATCAACAGTTTGAACAAAGCCAGTATACGCAAACCTTCAGTCATGATACTTGTGACTTTATGCTAGTACTACCATTTTAGAACCTTAGAACAGTTCTACCTACTAAACTTCCACTTTTGGTTCAACTTCTGGTATGACTTTCAGGTATTCTTCAAAGGTGCTACATGCTGGGATCACCTGTCCAGGCCAAAAGGATCAAGGTTATTGCTCAGGCAAATTGACTATGTTAAGATTTGAACCCAGGTTTCAGAGTTGAATATTCTAACCAAATGGCCACTAATAAGTCATACATCAAATGTTAAAAGCTGACTCCCTTTTATTTTTTTTCTATTAGTGAAATAATGATTTTTTTTCTCTTTTTCTCTAGGGCTATTTGATTACAAACAGAGAAATAGTGTCACAAGATGTTGAGGACTTTGAATATACACCACGTCCAGAATTTGAAGGACCATTTACTATTTTCAATGAGCCAGATGAGGTGATATTTTGCTTTGAATAATTATTATCTAAAATTTGTTTTTTTTTTGTTTTTTTTTTTTGTCTGTTTTTTTTTTTGTCATATTCTGTTTTTGTAAGGATATCCGCTGAAGAGTTATTTGCAAGCTCTGTGATACTATGGATACCCACATAGAAAAAAGAAATGTGGTTTTATCTTGATCTTGAGTGTTTCTGTTTAATAGCCAACAGGTGCTTTTTTTTTTTTTTTTTTTTTAAGTTTAGTTTTCTAAGCATCATCCACTTTGGCTGAAATAAAGGAGTAGATTAGGGATTCTTGGAGATAAAGTGGCAATGAAACCTGAAATAGAGTATATCCGGGTGATGATCATGCTTGAGATTGGGGGAGATCTAGTCCACCCTTGGCAGGAGATGGACTTGTCTGTCATATGGTTCCTGTGCCATGTATTCATATTGCCAGCCACCATATCAAGATGAGTAGAAAGGCAAGGAGTTGTTAGAGGAAGGGCTGACATAGAAGTTGTTTCAAATATCACCTTACTACCCACCTGGACGACACTGAATAAAACATCCATATGTATTATTAGGTACCTCTGAGAGATCACTAAAAAAAAAGAGCATAGCATGATGAAAAAGATGCCAAACTTGACAAAAACAAAATGTTTATGTTATTATTAAGAGGAAAGAACAAAGTATTTTATAATTATTTCTAAAAAATTTTTCCTTCTTTTTAGAACATTCTAACTTTTGATTAAAAAAAAAACCTTGTTTCTCTTTGTATCAGCAGAACTGCTAAATAACACAAAATTTTAGCACGTATTTAGTTTTTTGTATGACAGACATTAATTTGGAAAATCTTGCAAAAATAAAAATAATTGTTGGATATAATGAAACTTTCAGAAACTATTCACAATTGATGGAAATTATAAATATGTTTTCTTTTTTAAAGTCATGGCAAAAATATTTTTTTTATATATATTATTACCCCCCCCCCCAACTAATTTTATGAAAACTCTAGAAATTCGATACTGTTCAGTTTAGATATTATTTGGACTATTGTCCTCATCTTTGTCGCCATATTTATCACAACGTTTCGTCTGTTGTACGCTCCAGCCTTCTTCAGGTGGTTGGAAGGCCGGAGCGTACAATGGCTGAAACGTTGTGATAAATATGGTGACAAAGATGAGGACAATAGTCTGAATAATGTAAATAATACCTCATCTCAGAAATATAGACAAACTCCGTTCAGTTTAGTGATTATATTAGTTAAAAGCACAAGGCTTTGAGGAAAGCAAATCATGTATTTTATTTTTTTAATTGGATCCCCATACCTGAAAATCAGCTCTGAATTGTAACATACAAAACTCAATAAAACAAAGATATTATTTAATGTCAAATGCATTTAGTTGCCTTTATGAATAGGGATGATATTGTTTGAAAGCAAAAAACTTTTTTGATGAAATATGAATTTTTAAAACAATTATTTGTTATTTCTTAAATTATTTTTATATTAAAGTTGTTAAAATATTCTAAAATTAGTGAAAAGGCATTCAGTTTAGTCAATGGCATTATTAAATAGATCTATCTTTTAGTATTATAAGTTGTATAGCTTATAACAATCAGAAGAGCCGAATGGTATAAAAAAAAATAATTCCAGATGGCTTTTGTGTCCATAAAATGGCTGTAATTCAAATGTATGAAAGATCAGCAAGAATACAATAAAAAGTTGCGTTATTTGAGTTGAGCATTGTTCTCCGTGGTTAGTGTCTTTATTTTTGCAAAACACGTGTGGAGAAGTTAATTTAATTTTTCAATTTCAACTGAGAAGGGTAATCTACAAGTATTAGTATTATATGAAATTCATATGATCTTATTTTTATATTACCTCAGTTATGACATTTTCCTTAAATGAAATATCAAGATTAATAATAAAATGAATGGAAATACAAATAACACAGTAAAATGTAATAATGTACATAAAATTATAGTATTTTATGTACACTTTTGATAAAATTTCATAAGAAAGGTACCTATAAATTAATTAGATATCTTTCTTATGAAATCTAATCTCACTCTCAACAGTCTTATTTTAAATTTTTTACAATGTATTTTCCATAAAGCATTGCAAAGGTGAAAGCTAAGTACAAAAAAAAAAAATTAGAGTGCTGAAAGTTTTTCTTAAAAATAATGAGGCAAATAAGTTGGTTCACGGAAATGTAAATAATTGTCACTTCTGTCCGTCCGTATGATAACTTTTCCTCACGTAAGCTGTCAATACGTGATTAAACCATCACTCGTCACCTGTCAAGTGATACCAAATGTTATGACCTGCTTTGTCTTATTTTTAAACTACATCTTTTCGGTGCAGAAATTAAGTAATGCTTGTTTCAAAATATTTTAAATAAATACTATAATTTCTAATTTTCTTAAAATAAATTTTGAGAAAAATTAATGATTTTTAAAAGAATTTGAAACAGATTTTCATTTTTTTTTATAAAATGGAAAAAATGGTTGACATTGATTATCTGTCAATTTTGCTGATTCAAAAAAAACAAGATTTTTAACAAAAATTTTGGACATGCTAGGAACGATTAAAAAATATAACAAAATACCCCCAAAATACTCTGATCTTTCCCCTTGATAACATAAACATTTAGACAATAAAAAATCATTTTCATCAAGTTTAACGCCCTTTTTATTCATGCTATTTTTTTTTTTTCTTAAGCGATTTCTTGGAGGTACCTATGTATTATTAATGATCTGTGAAAGAGTATACTCCAATAATTTGTGAGTATCTATGTGGATGATACAACAGTTTACAGGTGCACCTTTAGAAATCTGGAAGACTAGAACATAGCTGCTCATCTCTATTCTGACTTAGCTCAGAGAGCTTGATAGGCCTAGGATTGGCTTGTGAAATTCAATACAGCCAAAACCAAACTAGTAATGTTCCACCATCACCTACCAGGCCACAAGCATTAACCTACCATGATGGATGGATTTTCTCTTAAGGAGACTCCTTATCTTGAACCTTTATTTGGGCTTGACCTCTCCTTACAACTTGTTGAACTCTTATATCTGATCTATTGCTAAAGATGCTGGAAAAATGGTCAGTTCATTGTAATACTACAGTAAGTATCTGACAATCCATCCACCCCGATATTCTATTTTTACAAAAACCAGATTAGAAAAGAAATGGGCCAATGCTCCAATGTCTGGGCTGGAACTGCCTAGTCTTCATTTGTCTGTCTTGATCAAAGTTCAAAAGTGTCTATGTTGCTTGTGGGTGATTATTTTCCAACTCTACAGCCTCTTTCCCCACAGACGAAATGTTGTGTCTCTCACTGCTCTATTGCTACTTACATGACATGTGCTCTGATGCGCTACATTCCTTGGTTGCAACATTTCTGACCTTTACAACCTATCATGTTACATACAAAAGGGTTAATTATCCCCATTCCTTTTGTATTCCTATAGTATGAAGTAAGTTTCATTTGGACAGCTTCTTCATAAGAACTGATGCTTTGTGGAACAGACTCCTGGTAGCATATTTTCCCATTCCCTACAATCTTGAACTTCACTTCTTTCTCTTTCTTAAGCACATACAATACCATACAGTAACCCTTTACCTTGAGTGGCTCTTGGGTCTTGTGTAAACATTAATACATTGTATGGCAGAAATACCTCCCACATAATGGTAAGGTATTAGCTAGAGGAAGTCACCATTGTCACTTGCTGGAGTTCATTAGCTTCATACAGCTTACAGTTTAGAATTTGTTATCTATTTCTGCTGTGCCCTGTAGTTGATGTCTTAACCATTATGTAGGAGGTATTTCTGCCACACCCTATATATATATATATATTATATATATTTTATATATTATATATATAATAAAAAGGCTTAAACACTAATATTCCATGGTCATAATTTATTCCATTGGAATCGTAAATACAATCCAATTCATCAGACCTGCAAATTCAAAAAGAAAACAGAAAAAACAACTCCGGAAATAAAAACAAAATTTAGAGAGAGTGTAAGTATGAGGGTGTGGGACGAATGTTAGAGCTAAAGTGGGGGGTAACAGACTAGAGAAAGAGGGAGATTAAACCTTAACAGAGAGAATTTTAGGAGAGGTGAGTGAAAGGGGTTTAAGTAAGAGAAATATGAATGTTGTCGGATGTCTAATGCATAAAGATACATTTCATCGTGACATACACACACCATAGACAATCTAATGTTGAAGATCAGAATAAGAGGGAGGGAAAGGAAAGAAGAAGTGGGGGAGAGAGATGGGGCAAAGGAAAGTAAAATTGAAGGACATTTACTGAAAGGGCCGCTGTGTAATTAGGAAAATTTGACAAATTTAATATCAACTACAGGTTACAAATGAAATATAAACATATAAAAAATAAATATAATATTATCTAATCTAGCAAGGACCTATATTTTTATGTTCAAAAACACATGCGAATACACACACACACAATAACATATACACGTATATACATACACATAGGCGTGTACACACATACGTATACCCATGTACACACATATATAAACATATCCACACAAATATACACACACATATATATATATATATATATATATATATATATATATATATATATATATATATATACACACACACACACACACATATATATATATATATATATACACACACACACACACACATATATATATATATATATATATACATACACACACATATATGCACATATTCACCTATATGCATATATACACACTTTTCATATACATACATACACATGCACACATACATACATATGTATATATATGTGCACACATACACATCCATATACATACATATATACACACACACACACACACATATATATATATATATATATATAAAATACAACAGAATGAGTTCATGTTCTTATTTCTAACTGACATTTCTCTTTCATCATATTACCTTGGGAGCATGTAGCATGCCCTTTCAGTTTTTGGTGTATGTTGATGAGATTGATAACTGAAATGCA